CAACGAGATCAACGCTTTCAATGCGGTTCATCAAAGCTATTTGAGATAATGCATTGGCTACGGAGTTATCTGCTCCTGAAATGTGGCAGACATCTGACGTGCACTGGGAAACGTATTCTAACGTACTCGCGGCTCACGTGGGGAGTATTTGTCGCGTGCCGAGCCACAAGAGAAGTTAAATGGTTTGTAGCCTCTGAAAATGATGAAGTCACGACCCTCCACGGAATGTCAAAAATGGTGCACCAAACAGTACATAGCTAGGAGTTCCCTACCAAATGTACTGTATCTTGTTTCCACGTCTTGCAGCCGCCTCGGGAAAAAGGCTAAAAGTTGCCACTGGTTGCCAGCCAACTGTTGCAAAACTGCTCCGATTGCTGAGTCAGAAGCATCAACAGCCATACTCAATGGAGCATTGGGATCATGATGCATGAGCATGGTCGCATCTGAAATGGCTTCCTTGGCTGTAGAGAAAGCAAGTCTAGCCACGTTATCCGGAGTCACGCACTTCGTGGTCCCACGAAGTAGATCTGTGAGTGGTCTTGTAGTGCCCAGTAAACTTGGTTATGGTTTCTAGCTGTTGTAAACTTCATATTCCCTATAAACTGCAATTAAATGCTGAGTGACTTTGAATGTACTCTCAAAAACTTTGCCTGCTGGACTTGCCCACTGGAGTGCTTGGGATAAACGTGCTATGCTTCTACTACTACCCTTTTATTTGCTACGTTGTGGTTGTCGAAAGCACATCGTATGCCCCTGGGTTCAGTGGTCCCATAACAGGGGCACAGTTGGGAATAAACCTTCGGTAATAATTTACCAGGCCACTGAAAGTGAGAAGCTGCTTCACAGTGGTCGGCTCTGGATAGTTCACGATAACCGCCACTTTATCTCTTAATGGGTGTATAACTTTGTTGTCATTGGTATGTCCGAGGAAGCGTAGTGATTCAACTCCTATTTCACATTTCTGCAAGCTGACTGTGATGCCATGTTTTTTAGTTTACTAAATACGAGGTCCAAATGTTTAATGTGAGTTTCCTTATCTAGACTCGCAATTAGACAGTCATCGATGTAGACGTGAACGAAGTTTAAACCATGGAAGACATCATCCGCAAAGCGTTGGAATGTTTGTGCTGCATCCCGAAGACCCAATGGGATGCGCAAGAACTCAAACCGACCGAAAGGAGTAATAATGGCTGTTTTCGCGATATCTTCTGCTGCCGCAGGTATCTGATTGTACGCTTTGAACAGATCGATTTTGGAGAATATGTTCATTCCGTATAACGTCGCAGTCAAGTTGTAAACGTGAGGTAACGGGTAGAAGTCCGGTGTTGCTTTGGAGTTAAGCTTTTGGTAATCACCGGTTGGATGTCAGTCGTTGCTATCCTTTTTGGGAACCATGTGCAATGGCGATGCCCAGGGGCTGTTTGACGGCCGGATAATGCCCAGTTCGAGCATGTGGTCGAATTCACTCTTCGCCGTTTGCAGCTTATCGGGGGCTAAACGGCGCATTTTGGATGCCGCAGGTGGACCTGTGGTTGTGACGTGATGCATAACATTGCTGGTTATGCATGGAAGAGTGTGCTTCGGTTGCTGCAACTCTGGATATTTCTTCAAAACTGCCTGGTAGGACGCGTCTCCTGACTGTTTGGTTCTAATGGTGGCTAAACTCGGACCTGCATAGGTGGTGCCACCAATAGATAACTTTGTGTTGTTATCTATCAGTCGTCGACGGCGAGCATCTACGAGTAGATCGTAATGGTTTGGCAAATCTATGCCAATGATGGGCATAGAAACATCAGCAAGGAGGAAAACCCAGTGGATAGGTTTACGTAAACCTAAGTTGAGGTAGGCATACCGTCTTCCAAATGTTGCGATTGCCTTACCGTTAGCTGCTTGGAGATTGAAGGATGGTTATGATGACGCTCTTTTGTCGGTGAGGGAAGAACCCTATCCCATGCGCTGGTGTTGACGAGGTAGCGTGCCGGCTTGGCCATTTCCCATGTTTGTGTCCGAGTTGGAACTGCATGGCTTCCGACATTTTCCGGCTTCATCTCAGTAAGTGTTATGAAGCCAGCACCATTTTGGGTTTTCAACCCTGTTAGGTCTAGTTTTTGGACAACCATGTGAGTTGCTGTGGTGGGCTGATGTGCTACGTAAACTGCGGCCTTGAGTTCGCGGCAACTGTTTAACAGAGTTGCACAGCCTGGTCACCTCTGAATCCTGGCTCTCGGGTTCATCGCAGACGGAATATACGTTGGGGATGGGTCTGCTAGAAATCTCCAGTATTTTGTCTGCGGAGGCTGCCAGGTCACCCAGTAGAACTGGCTGAAAGGTCACTGACACGGTTTGCACCGGTTGTGGTAGCTCCGGGAGGAACGGTTCTCGGAAAAGGCCATTAACGAACCTTCGTGTGCCCATAACTTCTCGTATGCGTGCGAAGACTTCAGTGGCTGAGCTGCCGCCTAGTTCGATGTTACAAAGCCATTTGTTCAGGCGCTGGCGATCTGTGAGATCACTTTTCTTCAGGAGTGCGGCTTTGAGAAATGCATAAGGGTCACTTACTTCAAGACTAAACATATGGGTTGTAACATGCCTGTTTCATTCCCGCGGTAGTGAACGTATGACACCAAAAAATCGAGAATGAAGATCTGCTACTCTGTGTTCTTGAAAATCTGCATCTGCATACAGAAACCGTGTTTCTGCATTGCCTGGCCAATATGGCACAAGTTGGATGGTGTTCGCAGTCGGCTTAATACGGATAAGCTTGAGAGTATGGTTGGACATGAGAAAAAGTTGTACATGGATGTATAAGGTTATTAAAATGAAAACAATATATAAGTATAAAATAGAACAGGCTCGCCGATTCAAGATTTGTTATTGGTCGGGATATGTGATCACGTCGGGCTCACCGATTTAGGATTTGTCCTGGTGCGAACTTGACAGGCGTGTAGAGGTGACGTGTTACAATTCCGTAACGCCTGATCAACCCTACTTAACTTGATGTGCTCTAGTACCTGCTTAACCAACACTTTACTTAGCTTGTAAGTACTGAAAACAAAACACAGATCAAAAGAACTGATACGGGAAGATGTTTGAAGAAGCGATGAATTTAATTAAGGTTAATGTAGTAGGAATGGATGCGGGAAAAGTTCAATCAACTTATCTGGGTTGTAAGGCTGAACTAGGGACTCTGAGTACGTGCGTGGTAACCACTACTGTGGGAGCGCAAAATGGCCTCCAAGCCTACTCGGATGCATGCTTGTTAAAACAAAACTTAAGACTGTTATGGTTTCGAAGGCTAATGGTTATATGTATATTCTGGAACGATTATAATACGTGTGCTCAGCTGACAACTAACTTGGTACGCAAGAGCCACTGACTGCAACCCCGGGGCGAATAAAGAGAAGACCGAAGCTGGCAGATGGAACAGTGTATTACTCCTAGAATATGATAATAAATAAATCCAAAGCACGTGAATAATTAAACACATGAAAAATGACCTTGTCCTCAATTTGAAGCATTTGCATAGTAAGAGTAAAGATTAACCAGTTAGCGATTTACATTACAATGGGGGCAGAAAATAGACTATTAGTCATACGGTAAAAAATGATGTTGGAATGACACGTTAAAATGTTCAGATCAATAACAGTGTTTTATATAAAACTGGGGCATCACAACAAAAACACACCAAGCATCCGGAGGCAAGCTAGAGGTTTATTTAGTTAATTTAATTAATCTATTTATTTTAGCCCCAGTTGTATTTTGATGACAGGAAGGCGCTCTACAGATGCAAAGGCCAATCAATCACTATTTATTCGGACTTGTTACGTACTCATGAATACGAGACCAATAAGGAACACGACAACGTAGTCGGATGGAATAATATATTTGGGTGGTTGCTCCAAGATACCGATGCGTTCCAACTAACTGGCTACAGAGTCGATTAGGAGCAGCGAAATGTAAGGCGACAGCGTGCCAAATGGTGAGGATGCTTGACCGGGTGCCTTCAACTTAGCGAGTCCAGTTAAACTATCAAGGCCAGCATCAGTGTTGAATCTTGTCAAACCCCAAGCCATCGATTTTGGAGAAATGTGTGACGCTACAAGTTCAAATGGTTGTTGACAAAATAGAAGAAGCTTTCGCTTAACTGGCTTCCGCGTTGGAAGAAGATTCAGGGTGGGTGGACTAAGATGTGACACAAGTGTATGAAGCCTCTCACTATGGGTCTGAGACGTGTAGGGGGGGGGGGGTGTTGACTAGCCGGCTATGGTCCTCAAGGCTGTGGGAAGCAATAGCTGGAGACCCTGGATGACATGAGTGAAAATTTGTCATCATGCCGTAGATGTAATCTCTCTTTGACATCTAAGGCTTGAATATTTTCACTAACCTTTATCTTCCAATTGTTTCTCCTCACATACACTTTTGCTTACTTTGATATCAATTATTTTCCTATCCGTCTGTTTTTTGGTTGCTTCTGTAACGTGTGACAAGTTGAATTGATGCAGTTTAGTGTGGTGTTCTTCGTTGACTTTGTCTGTCTCCATATGTGAAATATATGAAGTACGTATAAAAGACTTTAGTCACCGGGAAATAATGGATATAGTAGTCAATTTCTGAGTAGTGATTACTGATCCAAGTCAATCGATAGAGCATTGAAAGTAGCCACTAAGCAGAATGATATGATACTGAAATGCAAATAAACCTTGATGCTCAATGTTGGAATTTCATCAGGAGGAGACGGAACTTCTTATCCATTGCCTGCTAACATTTAACACTAAAGATCCGTCTGTCAACTAAGGTGTCATTTTATCTGGAAGAATTAGTAATTATCGAAGAATATTTTAAATATTATGCTGAATACGAATAAGATATATATCACCGAAGAAATATTTCTTTTCACCGACTTCATTATCAAGCTGTGCAGTCGTATTTATACGCGGTAAAATGACAGAAATTATACTTAAAAGTTGCATTTATATGGTCTGCCGAATGTGCATACAGATGGTCTTCCTCTTCGCCCAGTATTGGATATGCTTAATTTACCTTATCACTCATTGGCGAAATGGCTTGCTAAAATGCTTGAACCTGTGAGATCAAATCTGTGAAAATATAGTCTTCCCGATACATTCGGTTTTGTTTGCTGCATAGAAAAAATCAACGTAACAGGTAAGCGTATGATATCGCTTGACGTTTGTTCCTTATTTACCAATGTTCCACTAGTTGAAACTGTTTGTTATCTATATGATTACATTGATTCGAATAATATTAACATTGGATTACCTACGAATCACCTAAAAGAACTGATATTAAGATGTAGGTTTAATGTACAGTTCAGATTTAATGATATGATTTATAATCAGACAGATGGAGTTGCAATGGGGTTGTTACTGAGCCCCGTCCTGGCTGATATCTTTATGGCAAAGCTCAAAAACGGACCACTTTATTTGTATAAAAACTACATTGACGAAAATTTTCTTATTTACGAAGAAACGTGTTCAGTGGACGAGCTGCTAAGACGTTTCAATGACTGTCACCCGTCTATTAAATTCACTGTAGATGAAGAGTTAAATTCAACGTTCCACTTTCTAGGCGTAATGTTAAAGAGAAGCGATGATGGCTCAATTCAAAGGTCAGTCTATCGAAAACCAACCTGGACCGGTCAGTTCACTAACTTTAATAGCTGGGTACCTCTTAGTTATGTTCCAGAATCTATAAAATCTGTTCAGAAGACACGGCAAATGTTGAAATCGAAACTCTTGGAACAACACTATCGAATAAGGGATACCCTCAAAGATTTATTGACGAAAATCTGAAGAAACGAATCAACCCTCACCCTATTACAATTTCTAAGAAAATCCTAACCATGAATCTAGAATTCAAACGAGACACCATAACCAAAGTGTTGAGAAGCCGTCTGTCAAGGTGCATCACTAGTAGCTTCTATGCTGCTAGACCGTGACTCATAGTCTGCAGTCGCCATCTGATTCGACAATGCGTGAAGCATTGACTACCACTTATGTCCACATCTATATGTATCTACAAATTCACATGTTCCTGTGGAGCTGACTATATTAAACTTTGTAAGCTGGCCCTCCGAGAACGTGTTGCGGAATATTACCCAGTTTGGCTTACCAAAGGCGAACGAAGAAAAGCAACTTCATCCATATGTGAACACCTAGTAGAGTTAGGTCACTCAGCACCTCGACATTCATTCTTTAAAGTAATTTACAAAGTAAAATTAGATTACTTCAAGGGTTCACGTTTCCACCACTTACGGATAGCTGAAGCATTGGCTATTCACGAAAAAAAGAAACTTTGCATTCAAAAACGTTTTGTGAAACCAGTTTCTCTACATTGGCTTTAACAATTCATTTTGGTTATTTTGTCAATTTCAATTCACTTCGCTTTGGTATATTTCTCTTTTATAATTACCCTTATCACCAATTTTTACTTCATCGAGAATATCGGACCCATATTTCACTATTTAACATCAGTTTGTTTCTTATTCAGTGATCCATTTTCTATTTCTTCCACTTGAACAAATGCCATCAATAACACCTATTATATGTTGATGCATTTTAGAGATCAATGAGGATTTTGAATTTAGGAGTAGCATTCATCATGGACTAACATCAGTTAGGGAACTATTGAAAATCTGGGAGCACTGGACAGCTGTTTCTTCCCAGTATGGGACTCCTCAGCAGTACGCACCCACGACCCGGTTAGGGATCGAACTCAGGACCTTCAGATGGATATCAGGAAGCTCTCATGAGAAGCAGTGATCTTTGAGGTAAACCAGTCGGATGTGAAGTGAATGCTAACTGAAGACCTTGGGTGACAATCACGATATGTCATGAATTGACAGGAGTTGGAAATTGTGAACCATTGGAAACCGACCCAGTGACTAAATGGTTAACGCGTTCGCCGTGAAACCTGAACGTCCTGAGTTCGATCCGTAACCGAGTCGTGGATGAGTACTTCTGAGGAGTCCCATACTGGGACGAAACAGCTGTCCAGTGCTCCCAGATTTTCAATAGTTCCCTAACTGATGTCAGTCCATGATCAATACTACTTCTACCTATTATCTATATTTTGCTTGTTGATTTAGCAACTTTTTAATTCAATTATCTGTCATTTTACTGATTATAAATACGACTGTAAAACTTGATAATGAAGCTGTTGAAAAGAAATATTTCTTAGGTGATATATGCCTTGTTCTTATTTTTGATTAAATGGGTATAATTCGTCGATTATGCTGGATGTTTGTTATAATGCAAATTTCTCCCATCGGAGTCTGGAAATCTATGCATTATAGGTTATCAACAGAGAATTTCTCACAAAATGACAACCATCAATTCGAAGATGTTTTACCACGAATTGATGTGACTTAGAAAGTCACTGGAAAGCAGAAAACAGCTAGAGAGCAATTTTGAGTGAGATAAAGATACATCCCAGTCACAGGATTACAGTCTCGTAGTCAGTCGCTGTAGATCAACTTCATATTGGTCAAATAAAACACCTTGACCTGTGAGGCCAAATAATTCGTGAATGAGTAAAGATATCCACAAATAAATAGGAAATGGTAGAAGCTGGAAAATGTATAACATTAGATTTCACTCCATTAACTGAAGAGCAATATAATCACTATTACTTATGACGGAGCTCATTTCAATGTCTTACTCAGTCATCAGTGCTCATTGCTGATAATGTCTCAGCTGAGATGAACGAAGTGTCCATTACTACATTGTTTGTTTTAGCTATTTCCAAACCTTCCTGTCCTAAAATAATCGAAGTCCCAACACACTGTGTAACTGAATACTTATAAAAAACAGAATTAACATCTATTCGAAATAAGCTGTTATCCAGTGTGCCAATATCTCCAATCATACTGAATTTCTGAATTAGGTGCATGAGGTATCTTCCAATAAGGTATATTAGATGAAAAACAGATAAAGAGAACAGAAAGACTTTGCTACTATCCTTGCAGATACAAATTTAACTAAATTGACAGACAACTTTATTTTCAGTCGCAATAGAATGCAGTCATAGATTTAACTGCATTTCATGGAACGAGAAACTCAGTGAAATAGCAGAATTTATCAGAAAGAATTATTAGTTAGGCAGGTAGATAGAAAAAAAAACAACTTTAAAAATTTCTCTAAAGTGCATACGATATTAAAGTACATTGCAAAGAGGTATTGAACACAAGTAGGATGATTTTAAAAAAATATTTTTTTATTTAGACGATATTACAATAAATAAGAAGGGTTGTGAGAGAGGAGAGATAATAAATGAATCAGGGTTGATCAAAATGCTTGAAATTTAGGTGATAAAGAGTACATATGTACCATTTGTGACCAAGTATAAATCACATTATCATGAGTCCTCAATCATTTATTTCTCTTCGCTTCAGGAAGCTCAACCAATCAGGAAACTCTGTGAACTGAAGACAGTTCGTGGCCTTAACACCCTTAGTCATTTTGAGAACCAGTCCTAATCTGGTCAACTTTTTTCGCATCAAAGTAGTTGTCAGCTTAGCATATGTAATACATATGTGAGCCATGTCAGTTGATGAGGGTTTACAACGTCCAGCAAATATGAGCAATACTAGGTGGATAACTATGATGAACAACCAGTAACATCCACATGTCCTACACTTTGAACAGTCATATTGACTGCCGGTATCCTACAGGCGAAATTAAAGAAGCGCCTTACAACTTGGAAACCAATCAGAATGCTGTCTTGTGACCACTGTAAGGTCATTTCCTGCCATCTTAGTAGACCATGTTGGACGATTGGTTTCGTGCTAACGAGTTTTGCGTTGATTTATTAAAGTTGCAGATGTTGTTGCCGTTCCTATGTAATGAATCTTACTCAATTATACGCCGTTTATGATACTGCCTTTGTTAGTTGCCTGTTTCGTTAACTGTTTTTATTGTTTGCAATGTTTGGGGACACAGGTCAGTTATAAAAAGAGTGTTTTTTGTATATTTGTTTCTTGAATTCTATTCCTTCATGTTATGTTATGTTATGTTGGTGGGTTAATGTAAATTTATCCGCGTTATGTTGTTCTTGATGTGTTAGAGGTTGGCTAACCGTTAAAAAAGTCGTGATGCTGCCTGTGGTGCCCTGATCCCCGAATAACTTCAACGTTTACAGCCTTTATCTGGTTATTTAAGAAGTTTCTGCAAATGTTAACACGTTCCGTTGCTGTTTATTAACACTTAAGCTTAAAGTCCTCTAAGAAGAATGCTTTATCTATTCGTTTTCATATCTTCATGGATTCTTATCAAGCTTCTACGAGCAGTGCTAGCCTGGTTAGTACAACGTGTGTTGATGTTTCTGCGGTGTTTGAGCAGATTATACAACCTAGACATTTTACTGTCTGGAGTCAAGTCGAAGAAGCGACTAGTTAGTTTCAGAAAGTATGCTAAGAAGTCACTTAACTCTATGTTTAGATGACGAATACTCACTACGTTGTGAGGAATGCAATCGATATAAAGGAGATGCTGAAGTGAAGTACCATTATGTTGTGTTGGCGTGTACTTTTGATAACCGGAAAAAGTCGGAGGGCACCAAAAGGCGAGCTAAGGGGTAATCTAAGAATTTGTTAAGAGTAGCGTTTTAGATCGAAGAACATTGGTTGTAAATCTAGAATTAGAATACGTTACGATTTGAATCACTTTATTTTTCCAAGGATCAAGATGGTGCACAACCATCCATGTGATGTGAATTATCTTGTGAAAGACCCTTGGTCCAGACGATTATCCGAGGAGGAAATGAAGGTTGTTCGACCCATGCTGATAGTGGGGTCTGAACCGGATCGTGTTATTAAGTATGTAAAAGACGTTATTTCGAAGGACATAACTTACGACTATGTGAAGAATATCCGGAGGAAAATAACACCAAGTAACATATTTCCTTAATAATTTTTATTCTGCAGGTTATGAATCTCAGGAAGTAGTATTCGATATATTAAGAATTAGTGGTCGGCTGATAACCTGGAGTGATGGTGAGCATCACCAGGTGGACCGAGTCTGCTTCAGCAGTAACGATCAAATAGCCACCTACCTCCAATTCCCGTAAGTGGTATGCTTCGATTCAACGTATAATACGAACAAGGGCAAGTAAGTTTATCGTGATAACATTAACATGAAGTATAGCTATAAATTGTTTCAATTTGTTGTCACTGACAACTTCGGTAACAGTCGCCCAATTATGTTTGGGTGGACTAAACGAGAACAAAGGACAGATGTAACATGGATGTTGGATGCCTTTAGGCGTATAATAGGTGAAACTTCGTCCACACGAACATTTGTTATTGATTGTGCTGACTGAGCTTACAGTCTTCCATTCAGTCAGGAAAACAACTGTCGTATAAGGTTATGTGTGCATACATGACCAAAGAAGAGTAAAACTTATCAGTTCTTCGTGTATTTACTAGACCAGCAAGTTTTAGTCCTCTTCTGTTTTCAGGCACGCCCAACATAACGCGACATAAACGCTTCTCTTGGATTCAGTGTAGGAATTCAAAACGTTCACAGTTTCCCTTTCCTTCCTTCCGTGTGGACATTCAGGAAATATTATAACTGTAGCCATCGTCTTTAAAAACTACAAGCGATAGTTTCCGTGTGATTATACCCACAAATCACATATACGTCTTTCCAAATTCCTTGTCATGATGCGGTTCTACGGACTCATAATCATCACAAACTCTCTGCATTATCATAAAAATACTTCGAAAGCTGACTTACGTACTCTGATACGTCAACTACTTCCGCTATCTTCATCCTAAATGCTCAATATCCGGATGATTTATTTACTCCTTGCTATTAGGTAAATGAGAGGCTAACAGAAGCTCCACTGTATCCCTTTGCAATGCTTTACAGAGTAGCATACACACAATTCCATCAGGGAGCACAAATGCTCTGACGCTTGCAAAATCTCATTCCCCATTTGACTGTAAATACATACAGTGGATTATTATAGACTGCCCACCATAACTGTGCATGATCAGCAATAACATAAAAAGGTAAATATGAGATCCATATTTATAGAGTAGTACACTTAACACAGATGATAACCTAACATCTTCC